GTGGTGTGTGTGTGTGTGTGTGTGTGTGTGTGTAGTGGTGGTGTGTGTGTGTGTGTGTGTGTGTGTGTGTGTGTGTGTGTGGGTATGTGTGTGTGTGTGTGGACGTGTGTGTGTGGACGTGTGTGTGTGCGGTTACATGCAGGCGTAACTGCGTCCCTTTGACTGCAACTCAAGGAGCGCCTTGGTTTTGCACCACACGTGTTACTGTTGTGCAGACCACGCAGCGTCGGCATCAGCTACATTGAGCCAGTGTCGCACAACACAAGCATCAGCACCAGCAACGGCAATGTCACCAGCAACCGCCTGCTGAATGTATCGCACCAGAGTCTGCCCCGCTTCTCCGTGGCGGCCTACCACGCTCGCGTCGATCGTTCATCCATCGCCCGCCAAACTGACAACAACGTCTGTCAGCCCCTGTGTGTGTGTGTGTGTGTGTGTGTGTGTGTGTGTGTGTGTGTGTGTGTGTGTGTGTGTGTGTGTCTTGGTATGTTCAAGTCCTTGCCTTTTCATGCAAGCTGAGTATTCCCCGTCCCCAAGTGCACGTTGCTCCGCCAGTAATATTACTACTCACCATCTCCCGTTCAACAACACGCCACGTGGTCACCGCAAGCAGGGCGCGACGGGCGACGCGGCGGCCGCACCTGCGGTCGGTGCTCTGCGCCATCGCATTGTCCCCACGCGCACATCCCCAACACCGGCAGCAGCAACAGCATCTGTCACATCAACGGCTCCCCGCAGGTACGCACACACACACACATTGCATTCTTGCACAAACGCCATCATCATCATCATCATCATCATCATCATCATCATCATCATCATCATCATCATCATCATCATCATCATCATCATCATCATCATCATCATCATCATCATCATCATCATTATCACCACCATCATCGTCATCATTGTCTTCTTCATCATCATTATCATTGCCATCAGTTTGGAGGCACCACCGCCGTCTCCGTCTCACCTTTGTTCCCCTTTGCTTGTATCTCACCGCCACTTCTGTGTGCGTGTGCGTGTGTGTGTGCAGCATTTCCTCCCTGCTGACGTCGACGACCAACACGACGTCCCCAACTGCGCTCGCTCTCCGCCGCCGTCGTCGCCGCCGCCAACTCCGCCTCGCCCGCCCAGGCACCATCACAGCACAGGTGCTGCACACGCACATCGCTTGCATATTGCTTGTTTGTTGTTGTGTCGCTCACACTTGCGCTTGTGTGTTTGCGTGTATGTTTGCTTGCAGCGGCCTGTTTCGGTTGCACCGCCAATCCACGGATTTGCTGCAGTGAGTACAGGCAGCTGCGCATCACTGTACGACCTCCTTCCTTGCCCTCTCCCTTTCATGCACACTCACTCACTCACTCACTCACTCACTCACTCACTCACTCACTCACTCACTCACTCACTCACTCACTCACTCACTCACTCACTCACTCACTCACTCACTCACTCACTCACTCACTCACTCACTCACACACACACTCACTCACTCACTCACTCACTCACTCACTCACTCACTCACTCACTCACCAACTTGCTTGCTCATGCCAGGAGCCGGATGCTGGCCAGCAGGCCAAGCGCGCCAAGACCACCGTTCCGCCACCACCGTCGGCATCGTCGTCGTCATCATCGTCGTTTGCGCCGCCGCCCCAGGGTGAGCAGCAGAAGAAAGGCGGTGCGAGCGGGCCGTTTGCTGCTTCCAAGGGCGCAGCACACGCTCTCCTGTCTGCGCAAACACCGGCCCGCAAACCGCCGACGGAGGGATCTGCCGCGGCCAAGTCGGCCCCATCGTTTGCGTTTGGCGCCAAGGCATCCAAGCCCCTGCCCACCACATCATCCCCAGCCACTACTGCTGCTGGTGGTAGCGGCGGTGTACAGATGCAGTCCACCCCGATGGTGCGCAAACCAGCGCCGGGCATGTTTGGTGCCGCCGTAAGCAAGTCTGACACGACATCCAAACCCTCTGCATCTGCTGCTGCGCCCGTGTCGAAAGCAGAGACGCCGTCGCCTGCACAGAAGAAGCCCGTCTTTTCCCTCTCGCCAAGCCCTGCAGCAAAGTCACCCGCGACCACCGCTGCGACCAAGCCAGCTGCCGCCGCTGGTAGAGCAAAGGCCACGATGTTTGGTGCCGCAAGCAAGGCGCCAGCATCTTCCACCACAGCATCGCCATCCTCGTCATCAGCATCCCCATTTGCTGCTGCCGCTGCGAAGTCCAAAGCTGACCAGGGCAAGAGTACGCCCGATGCCGGCGCCGCCAAGACGACAGAGAAGGCGGCGGCCGCCAAACCGACGTTCAAGTTTGGGCAGACAAAGCCCGCAGCCGCGCCGGCAAGCAAGGCGCCCGCGGCTGGCAAGGGAACACCAACAACAACAAGTGCTGCTGCAACGTCGCCGTTTGCTGCACTCGCCAAGGTGACCGTCGAAAACGACACGAGGGTTGTTGCTCATGGTGTTGCTCATGGTGTTGCTAGTGGTTTTGGTCATGGGTGTAGTGATGACAGTCGGTGACTGAAGTTCGTTGCAGGTGGTGCTGCTTGTGAGAACCAACGCCACCCCCACCTCCCCACCTCCACATTGCTTTGCGCGCGTTAACTTGTTCGATCCACCTTGACTGACTCCTCTTTGTTTTTGACTTGCATGCACGCAACATGACGCGGTGTTCATCATTGACACGGCTCATGTGCACTTTTAGACGTCACCCAAGCCAGCGGCCACACCAACCTCGCCAACGACTGCCAAGTGCGTTTGTTATTCCGTGTGAGGGTGTGTATAAGTAGGGTGTGAGGGTGTGTGTAAGTAGGATGTGCCTGTGCCTGTGTTCGTTGCATCGCTCATGTCACCAAAGACACAGGTTGCTCAATCTCAATGCCCTGAAACCCAATCACAAACCATACACGCACGCACACAAACAAACAGGTCCTCCATGTTTGTGACCAAGAGGAAGGAATCGCCAACACCCTCGCAAACGGCAGCCACACCACCACCACCACCACCACCACCACCAGCGAAGCCCACGACTGCTGTGCCCACAAAGCCGCAAGCTGTGACTGCTGTAACAAAGACGCCTGCAGCATTCACGTTTGCGGCTCCAAAGCAGCTCGCAGCGGCTGCTCCTGCCTCAACAACGGTGCGTGCGCAACCGGCATCGCGCCGTCATCCATCATACACATGCCTGTGTGCATGCAGAATTGTGTCTTTGTTTTGTGCATTTCCTTCCCGTGTTTCTCCCTTGACTCACTCACACACACACTCTCTCTCTCTCTCACACACACACACTCACTCACTCACTCACACACACACTCACACACACACACACACACTCACACACACACACACTCACACACACACACACAACACCATTGGCTTTGCAGGCGGCCAAGCAACGGTTCACTTTCCCTGCCCCCACCCCTGCGCAGCCCGCTGCAGCGACTTCTGCTGCCAAAGCAACAGCAGTCACCACCACAACATCAACAACATCAACGACAGCAACGGGAGCAACCACGGCAGCTAAGCCGGCGTTTTCGCTGTCTGCGCCAAAAGTGGTGAGCCCCACAGCTGGCACTTCAAGCGCCCCCAAGTTCTCCTTCAAGCCCGCCATGCCCGCAGCGTCGCCCAGCGGCAGCGGCAGCAGCGCTCCATCGAAGCCCACGTTCTCCTTTGGCAAGACACCCACGGCCGCAACTGGCACAACGGCAACAGCCGCAACTGCCACAACAGCGCCTGGCGATGGCAAGACCAGCGACGAGGCCGCCCCAACAGGCAAAGGCACAACAGGGTCACCCACATCCAAGCCAGGTGCTTTTGGGCAGGCAGGCAAGCCCTTCAAGTTTGGGCAAGCAAGCGCTGGTGCAGGCGGGTTTTCCTTTGGCAAGAAAGCAGCAACGGCCTCCACAGCTGCTGCCACAAGCACCGAAAAGGCAAGCAGCGGGGACGACAAGGCAGGAGGTGCAGCAGCACCCGCACCCAAACCGTTTACCTTTGGCGCCAAAAAACCCGCCGCAGCAGCAGCAGCAACAACAACAACAACAACCCCAGCATCATCAGCAGCAGGAGGAACAAAGCCTTCTTTCCAGTTTGGAGGCAAACAACAGCAGGCGAAGGAGCAAGAAGCACCGACGCCCACAGTCAAGACCAGCGAACCCCAGGAACTAAAGAAGGATGCACAGCCTGAGCAGAAGCAAGATGCCGAACAGCAGCAGCAGCAGCCGTCACAGCCGTCACAGCCGTCTAGTGGCGCAGGATTTGGGGCGCCAAAGCCAGCCACGTCGACGCCGCCCAAGTTTGATGCGAGCAAGCCGTTCTCTGCTGTCGCTGCTTTTGGGTCGTCCTCAGGCAAACCATTCTCCTTCACCGCGGCAGCGCCAAAGCCGCCAGCAACAACTTCCGGCACACCCGAAGCAACACAGGCCCCAGCCGCCGCAGCGGGCAAGTTTGTGTTTGGCAAGGCTGCTGCTGGTGGCGGCGGCGGCACGGGTGGCGGGTTCAAGTTTGGCGCAAACAAGCCGGCGTCATCGGATCAATCGTCCACGCCCGCGTCGTCAGGAATGGCAGTGGCGGCCCCGAAGCCGTTCCAATTTGGCGCCGCAGCCACCAGCAGCAGTGGTGGTGATGGCAGCAAACCTGGTTTTCAGTTTGGCATGGCCGCGTCTTCGTCATCGTCATCGCAACAGCAGCAGCAACAACAACAACAACAAGGCGATGGTGCTGCACAGGTCAGCAAGCCTGCATTCTCCGCAACGCCCAGCTTCTCCTTCGGAAAGCAGCAGCCAGCAAGCGGCGCGAGCAAGCCCGGGTTCTCGTTTGGAGGGAGTCAGGGTGGACAGCAATCAGGCTTTGGCGGCTTCAAGGCTGGCCAAGCACCCCAGTTTGGAGGCAACGGGTCTTCGTTCTCACCAGCGGCACCAGCATCGTCCTCGTCCTCGTCCTCCATGGGCCCCGCAGGCAGCGGTGGCGGATTCCAGTTTGGCGCAACCCGCCCAAGCGCTGCACCTATGCAGTTTGGCGGCCAGCAGCAGCAGCAGCAGTCCATGATGATGACCGATAGTGAGCCGGGTGCCAAGAAGCCATTCTCATTCAGCGCCAGCGGTGGTGGTGCTGCGGGCGGCATGCAGCCGCCCCAGTTTGGTGCCATGCAAGGCCAGTTTACAGCAGGTGGTAGTGGTGGCGGTGCGATGCCAAAGCGCAACCTGTCGGCCAACCCGTTTGCGAGCATGAACGTTGGCAGCGGTGGTGGTGGTATGGGTGGTGGTATGGGTGGTGGTGTTGGCGGTGGTCAGCAGGCGCCCGGAGCCGTGGGGTCAGCAGGGTCTCGTCGCCGCGTTGCACGTGCACGCAGGCGCCGCCACAACCCGTAGTATGTGTGTGTGTGTGTGTGTGTGCGTGTGTGTGTATGTTTGTGTCTGTGTCTGTCTGTCTGCCTGTGTCTGCATGTGTGCGCGCATTTGTGAAGCTCCTCCTCTGCGTGCATGTTTGTTTGGTTGCGCTGACAACTAGTTGTGAAATGAATGGTTCCGATTTAAAGAAGAAGAAGCAAGATTGAGAAGCAAGATTGAGCAAGCCCTCAGTAATGTAACAACTCGTTCATTCACAACACACACACACACACACAGACGCACTTTGCATCATCAGCGACTTGCAAACGCCTCGCTCAGCACACGTCGCAGCGGGGCGGACAGTGGTGGAGGCTCGTGCTGCTGTCAGCGCAGATGCAGCGGCCAAGTTGCATGCAGTCAACACGTGTGAGATCAGTGCGGACAACAGAGACTTGAGAAGAGATGCTCGTGACGAGGCTGAGGTCAAGTGTGTCGAGGGTGGTGTTGGTCAGGTGCAGACTGCCGCCAATGCGGGTTTGGTTGGCAAAGCGCAGCTGCTTGAGCGGGTTGTGGGAGAGGTCGAGGTCGGTGGCAATGCTGCGAAGGTTGGTGAGGGATACGGCGGTGAGGGCGTTGTAGGCCAGGTTGAGGGACCCTCGTGCAGCAGTCATCTGACCAAAGTCGACGACCGAGAGCATGTTGTTGTTGAGAGCCATGTTGTAGCCGACGGTGAGGTTGGCGAGGGAGATGGTGCGCAGGTTGTTGTTGGACACGTCCAGCGCCCAGCCAACACGCGTGATGCCAGCAAAGTCGAGGTGTGCGAGGGCGTTGTGATCGACGCAGAGGGAGAAATCAACGAACGTGAGGCGATGAAAGTTGATGGCGGTGAAGCGGTTGTGGGACAGATCGAGCGTGTTGCTGATGCCCGTGATGGTGCCAAAGTTGACGTCGGTGAGTCGGTTCTTGGAGAGCAGCACGCCGCTGTCGATGCGGGTGAGGGACGACAGGTCCAAGGATGTGAGGAAGTTGTTTTGCAGGTTGAGGCTGCCCACCCTGGAGACGGGGCTCAGGTCCAGTCTCGTCAAGAGGTTGTCGGCCAAATTCAGCTCCCCAAAGATGGTGGTTGCGTCTGAAAACAGGACTGAGGTGAGCTGGTTGCTCCTGGCGAAGAAAGACGCCCTAAACACGGTGACTTGACTCAAGTTGAGCGAAGTGAGGGCGTTGTCCCCCAGGTACACTGAGCCACCAATGTGCGTCAGGCCCGCAAAGTGGATGTGGGTGATGACGTTGTCGTAGACTGCAAAGTCGCCCTGGATGTGTTGGATGCCTTGCAGGTCCACAGCACTGAGCACGTTGCTCTGCGCGTACAGGGAGCCATCCAGGTGTGTGAGCGCACCAAAGCGCAATGCTGTGATGGCGTTTTGGTAGAGGAGAATGTTGCCGGCGATGCTGGTGAGGCGGGCAAAGTCGACATGGGTGAGCAAGTTGTCGTGGAGAAGCAAGTTGCCGCCAATACGGAGAAGCGCGCCAAACTGAACGTGCGTGATGTCGTTGAATGGCAGCACGATGCTGCCGCCAATCATGGTGAGCGAGGAGAAATCAATCGAGCTAAGCTTGCCGCTGCTGATCTTGACAGTCCCGCCAATGTAGCGCAGGGACTCGAAGTCGACAGACTCCAACACTCCTGCGCGCCACCACTCGCCAGGAACAACAATGTCCCCGCCAATGGACGAGACATTGCCAAAACGCAGGGTGGTGGTGCTGTCTGCCACATGCACGGATCCGGTGACGTTGGCCACGTTGTTGAAGAACTCATTGCAGCAGCAGTGCTCCACGATGCCAACCGCAACAAAGCCTGCGGCGCGTACGGCTGCGCGGGACGATGTGCTGTTGCAATCGAGCACGTCTATGTCCGGGCGCGGCTCTAGCTGAGGCGTGAATGTTGTGATTGTTGTTGCTGGTGCTGTACCAGTGGTGTCCACTGAAATGGATGTTGCACTGGTGGCAGTGGTAATGGTGGATGTCGTTGGGGCGGAGTGAGTTGTGGGTGTGCTTGATGCAGATGCTGTGCTAGCCTCACCCGCAGAGGCCTCGTTGTTCCCGGCGGTGGAAGCCCCGTTGTTGTTGTTGTTGTTGTTGATGGCGAGCGGCAGGGTGATGGCACCTGCAACAATGCAAGCGACGGCGAAAACGACGAGAATGGTCTTTGTCCAGTTTGGCGAAGGTGCGGCTTTGTGCTGTTGCTGGTGGTGGTGGTGTTGTTCATGTTGCTGGTGGTGATGTTGTTCATGTTGGAGGCAAGTGTCGCGCTGCGCGACCGTGTGGAATTTGGTCGTTTCTGTCGGCGGACTTGTTCCATCTGGTGGTGGGTATGCTTCGCTCTGTTGGACTTGAGGTGGCCGGGAGGCGTCGACGTCGTTGCTGGTGTGACTGTGTGTGAGAACGAAGTAGACGTTGTCGGTGGTCGTGTTGGCGAGAGATGGGGTCGGTTGGGAGCTGGCGTGCCCCACGATGAGGTATTCTTCCGCATCAACAACGCTCTCTGTTCCTCCGAATTGTGCCTCGCCACTGTCGTCCTCATTCGCGCCGCCTTCCAGCACGAGTACTTTCATCGTGTTTGGTCGTTGTGCGCAGTTGTTGCTGCTGTGCGTGTGTGTGTGTGCGTATGTGTGTGTGCGTATGTGTGTGTGTGTGTGTTGTTGTTGTTGTTGTTGTTGTTGTTGTTGTTGTTGTTGTTGTTGTTGTTGTTGTTGTTGTTGTTGTTGTTGTTGTTGTTGTTGTTGTTGTTGTTGTTGTTGTTGTTGTTGTTGTTGTTGTTGTTGTTGTTGTTGTTGTTGTTGTTGTTGTTGTGGGGATGTTGTTGTTGTTGTTGTTGTTGTGGGGATGTTGTTGTTGTTGTTGTTGTTGTGGGGATGTTGTTGAAATGTGTTGTTGTTGTTGAAATGACGACAGGAGCAGGATGTGGGGATGTTGGAACGTTTGACGCGTTGAGGATGACCGTGTGAGACGACCACGTTTTGTGAGCACCAAAAGAGCACACACACACACAGCCCGTTGTCGTACCGGGAAGCTGAAGGGACGTTCACGGTGAGAGAGGATCAAAGGAAAAGTCACCACACACACACACACACACACACGAGACACCTACGATGATGTCATCTGCCCTCTCGCCCACATACCCGCTTTGATTTGTGCTGACTCAGCAATTTGCCCCTTTGTGGGCTTGCCCAAGCCCTCCACATTTATCGCGCTATCGCGGCCACAAGCAAACAGCGAAGTCTTTTTTGTTTGGGTTTGCTGGTTGCTGGCTTTGTGCTTGTGTTTGTGTTTGCGGCGTGCACTTTCCCAAGCTACCCCGCTTGTTTGTGTTCCTTCCTTGTCTCTGCGCTGGCTGGCTGGCGTTTGTTTGTATTTGTATTTGTGCCTGTGCTGGTGCTTGTGTGCTTCTCGTGTGCTGGTGCTTGTGTGCTTGTGTGCTGGTTGTTTGCAACCCTTCTTTCCTTTTTCCCTCTCTGCGAACACACCACTGAGCGTGCCTTCCTCACTGAACGCTACTGGTTCTGCTGGTCTCCGCTTCAACCTTGCGCCCGCTGACACGCACGCAGTCCACTGTGCACTGCCGTTGCCTCGCCCTACTCGTTCGTGGACCCTGCCCATGACTGGTGGCATGTCAAATCCTGTGCCACAGTATGCGACTACAATGGCACCAACCATCTCCACTCACTCGGGCACAAGCGGCCCACAACCACAGCAGCAGCAACCGCCACCGCCGCAAGAACACGCGCAGCAGAAGCAGCAGTACTACCAGCAGTACCACCAGCAGTATGAACAGCATCAGCAGCAGCCTGTGAGGCGGCAGCCGCCGCCTGCCATGGACGTGCTGTACAATGTGCACGATGCGTTCTCGCGAGCAAGTCAAGTGGACCGCCTCAACTTCCTGTCCATGCTGGTCCACCAGTGCCGGCCGTTGGAGGCCCGGTTCCTTCAGCTGGCCCTGATGGACCCCATCAGCCAGTCCGCAGCCGCGCTCAAGGAGGCGGAGGAGCTGGCCAACGACGAGGCGCGCATCACCGCCCTGGTGCGCAACCGCGGCCTCCTCTCTGCCCTGCACACCGTGGCAGATCTCCTCCCGCTGCTCCGCCCAGACAACGTGGCTGCCGCCCGCGCCATCACGCACGTGCTGATGCAATGCACATGGCACACGTCGCCGCGCGCCGACCAGTCGTCCAGGGACCTGTGCAGCGTGTGCCAGGCGGCCTTTGCCATGGCGCGGACCCACCCGGCAATCGAAGACACAGACCGCACGCGTCTGAACCAAATGTCGTGGGAACTCCTTAACGGAGAGCAGCCGCAACGCTCGCGGCACCACAGCATGGGCACCACGAACAGCGGCAGCGGCACTGGAGGTGGTGGTGGTGGTGGTGAAGAGCTACGCAAGGCATCGACATCAGCATCTTCGTCGCTGGCCAATGGCCCCGCTGACCAGCATCAGTCGCACAATGAGGAGCAGGAGGACGACGAGGGCGGTGTGGCGAAGGAGGGCGAAGAGACACTGGACGACGAGGGCGAGCAAGACGGCAAGCAGAAGAAAAAGAAGAAGACGAAGAAGAAGCGAGGATCCACATCCTCCACCAGCAGCAGGAACTCCCAGTCAGCGGCAGCAACGGACGCCGTGGCCCCTGGCAGTGATGCAGATGCGATGGAGGCTGAGATTGATCACCGCGAGATACTCTCAGCGCACATTGTGGGCATTGAGAAGGACGCACGCAAGAAGGCATACTGTTTCGTGTTGGAGGTGCAGTGGAAAGGTGGGCAGGCCACACTGTGCCGCCGCACACACGACGATTTCTTCAACTTCCACGTTGCACTCATGGACAAATTCCCCGAAGAATCAAAGAAGCAGAACAGGATCATCCCACTCCTCCCAGGTGCGTGTTTGGTGTTTGCTTTTGTGTGTGTGTGTGTGTGTGTGTGTGTGTGTGCGTGCGTGCGTGTCGTTGCGTGTGTGTGTGTGTGTGTGTGTGTGTGTGTGTGTGTGTCGTGTGTGTGTTGCTCTGCTCTGTCCCAGTGTGTCCCATAATTACCTTACCCCACATGGGAGCACCCCTTATCGAGACCTTATAATGACTCTCTGTCCATCCGTCGAACATGTTGACGGGCCACCAGGTGAGTTGAATAGATATGTCGACCATTGTATCCGATGGTTCGAGCCACTGTAACGCTGGCTACCTCTGAAGTATCTCGCGCCGGCTTGGCTCATCAAGTCTTCCCGCTATTTTGGTACGC